ATGGTTCGGAAAGAGGAATGATTGGGAATTCCTGTCTTGGTTTGATTTACCGAGAAGGTCTTATTTACTCTAGTGCTTTGCTCACTCGTTTCATTCCTAATAAATCATTGAACCGCAATCTCAAACATCAAGGGTTTGAAAAAATAGACAACTGCCGTCTCCACGGGCACGTGGTTCTTCCTTCCCCTGTTACATCTCACATGTACAGAGACGCGGCAAAGATAACATCTCTCTTGATCAATTCCTGTGCCTGTTGCATCTTGGCATAGAGGTTGGGGTCTCCCACCAGTTTGGCTGCATTCTTCACCTCCCGACAGGTCTCATCCAGACGAGTGATAGTCCGCACAATAGTGCCTTCCATCACGTCAGTGAGATCGGTGATGCGGTTGAACGACATGCCCTTCGCCCATTCGTAGACAACTTCTGATAGCCCAAACCGCGGCTGACTAGCAAAGTCATTGCTGTCCTCACTGGTCTGAATGACCTGGTGCTGGATCTGAATGTCGTTGACCCTGTCTGAGATCTTAACAATCGCCTCCTTCCCTTTCTCAAGACGCGGTGTCAATGTGGGAACATTCTCAGTCTTTTCCTGGAAAACGAAAGCAGAGAGTAGCGCGACAATTTCTTCGGGTTCGTATTCCGCCAGGACATTCTCAAGAATCAGCTCCGTCAAGACCAGCTCATCCGATGAGTGGATCTGAGATCCTTGTTAGCACTATGCCTAAACGACGGCCATGAATGTCTTAGGCAACTTACCTCACATGCTACCTTGCCTTTGAGCTGCACTCGCGCCTGCTCATCTACGAAGCCTAGATCCTTTAGAACCTGGATGCGTTGCTCGTAATCAGGGAGCAGCGCGAGGTTCTGGTCGGACATGAGCTGCTTCAACTGCGAGATATTCTCCTTGACCTGCCACTCATCGTGTTGCATTTCGAACTGTTGAGTGTCAGTATATTGCTGTACATTCTGAATTAGAGAAGGCCCTTACGTGTTTCAAGAAGTTTGGACACTGCAGGCATCGGCATGACTGGGCGATCGCCGCTTGTTGCTGACGCTTTTCTAGTATGTCCCTGACCTGCAGCTCCTTAATTCTGGTCCAGTCCATTTCATCCCAGGCTGGTTGTGTCCACGAAGCACAAAACTTCACAAGCTCCTTGTCCGCGAACTTCATTGCCTCTGGTAAGTTGCCATGTTAGTCTGATTTTGCGAAAATAGATCAAGAGCGCGAACCTTTTTTGATGTTCAGGTACCATATCGGGCCACCCAACTTGATCATTGTATTTGTAATACATTCAAGATCCGTCAATGGTATCTTAGAGGTCTTAAGGGTCATATCTGCGGCACGGGTGGGTAAAGACTGGAACCGATGCCGGAACTCAGGAAGGAATGGAAGAATGTCGCTGGGATGACGCCTGCTGCCGATTCTTCCGATCTCCAGAACCTGTATGGTGGGGGTAGCGCCTCCTCCGATGCCCTCCCGAACAATGATACCCGCCGTACGGAATCCATCCTTCAAATTCGGTCAGTCCCGTTAAAGATGTGGGAATGAGTCTCTGCACTTGCCTTTCTGTACACAATCAGCCGCTTCGGCATAAACAAGCGCTTTCCAACTGGCGAGGAAAGCAATCCCACATGAAGTTCACTAGTCAGCTTCTCATACTCGATGGCTGCGTCATGACAGGCCGCGAGGTCGATATCACAGATGTCGCAAGGTTCGCGTTTGATCTTCGCTAAGCTGGCCTCGGAGAGCTGGACCTGCTTCTCATGCTCCGGAAGAAGGGCCTGGGTGGCATTCTCACTGAAGCTCCGCTTGATCATCTCTTCAATCTTCAGAGCTTCTACACGCAAAAGATTCAATATCATGTTATACGTGAGCCTGAATTGAGATCGTAGCTTAGTCGGATCGCCCAAGATCATCCGTCTCAGAGCTCCAGCTGGCGGTGCCTCATCTCTTCCAGGGTTCACGATGATCACATAGCCGACTGTGTCAAGACCTCTTCTACCAGCACGTCCGGCCATCTGAGTGTACTCTCCGGGGAGAAGATCCCGAAAACCTTTACCATCATGCTTGCGGAAGCCGGAAAAGACTACTGTACGAGTAGGTAAATTCAGGCCCATAGCAAATGTCTCCGTGGCAAAAAGTACTTTGACCAGTGACTTGGCAAAAAGAATCTCAACTATCTCCTTCATGATGGGTAGGAGACCGCCGTGATGTACGGCAATACCCCGGCTGAGCAAGTCTCGAAGTCTGAGAATTTGCGGGAGGGTCCGGTCTTCTGGTTTGAGTCTGGTAAGAGACTTTTCAATGAACATGTGAATCAAGCTCTTTTCAGCAGCGGTCGTAAAGTCTTGGTTAGATAGCGAATCAGCATTCTGTTCGCATCGCTTCTTCGAGAAGACGAAGATGCAACCAGGGAGCAGATTCTCCTTCCGCAGATGCTGAACGAGTTGCACCCAGATAGTCTTGTCCTGCGCAGCTGTAGTCCTTCCACCACCACGTCCTGTGCGGGCAATGTTTCCGGTTCCCCTGTTAGCTGGTTGTCCTCTACCACGAGGGGCGCCTCCGCGCTGCGAGTTGCCTCGAGCACCCCCTCTGCCAGGAGCTTGTCCGCGCCCTCTACCCTGCGGCGCGCCACGGCTTGCCTGTGACTGGGCTTGGGCCTCAGCTGCCTTCTGGGCTTTGATCTTATCCCTGCCAGAAATGATTTCATCTGCTTCCTTCCAGCCATTTTCAAGGAAACGCTTGTTGGAATCGACAACTTTGTACATCCCTTTCCCAGCCCAGAGATAGTGTTCAAGAGGAACTGGTCTCTTAGGTGTGGAAATGACGTAGATGTCTTTCTTCTTTGTGCGACCGACCCAGGATGCAAATTCATAAGTGTTAGGAACGGTAGCAGACAGCAAGATCAGGGTAACGTGCTCCGGGAGCATGATAATGACTTCTTCCCAAACGACACCTCTCTCAAGGTCATTGACATAATGGACTTCGTCAAAAATCACGAACTCCACATCCCTGATAAGATCCGCTCCGCGGTAAAGCATACTCCGTAGAATCTCGGTAGTCATGATAAGGCAGCTTGCTTCAGGATTTATCTGGACATCGCCCGTCAGGATACCTACATCATCGAAGGTGGTCCTGAAATCTCTGAACTTCTGATTACTCAGAGCTTTGATGGGCGAAGTGTAGATGGCTTTGGTCATGTGTTTGGAGGCCAAGGCGATAGCATATTCGGCCACGACTGTCTTGCCAGCCGAAGTGTGTGCAGCAACAAAAACAGAGTCACCGTTCTCCAGATGGTAGACAGCCTCTTTCTGGAAGGTGTCTAATTCGAAAGGCCACTCACGGGCCATATCTGGCACGAGCTCACGGAAGTTCGGGATATCTTTGTTGACATCAACAACATGAGCCCATTCCCTTCCGCTCTTCCTTTGTTGGACACCTGCAAGAAGTGGAGCGTGGGGTTCCAATGCTGGAAATTCAACTGGTAGCAATGAGTCAATAACCTCCTCGTCACTTAGCTCAGCCTCATCGTCGATTTTGACGCCCCCAGCATCGGAAGCCGTTTCATCCTGCTCGACGCGAAGCTCGGTCTCTTCTTGCTGCAAAGCATGTTCCACCTCTTCATCTCCTTGAGCAGCTTCCTTGGACTTTGCTTCATCAAATTTCATTCCACGAGAAAACCCAGGGGCAACCTCTAAGAGACCGCCCTCGGTACCAAAACTGATGATTCGGTCCAGTCCGGACTGCTTGCCACTGGATCTGGAATACTCTGCAACTTGAGGATCCGATTCCATCTCAGCAATCGCCTCGACGCCCTCGAGCCCGCCTGGAGCAAATGGAAAGAACCCTGCTGCACCTCTGACAAAATCCGCACGGCCAGCGGGTCGACGTAGGAGGGACGTCGAGTTCTTTGCATTCGCACTGGTAGCAGGAATAGTGACCTCATGGTAGCCAGTAACACGACCTTCGAGGCCATCACGATCGAATCGAACGACGGTTCGTGATTGAGTTCCCGCAATGTCGAACAAATCTCCATAGTCCGTAGAAACATCCCACCTCCTGCAAGACGTCAGTGCCAATACCAGCCATCCAAAGCAACACATAAGCTGAAGAGAGTTTGGGGAAATGTTCAGAACTGCTACATCTCTTGAGCAAACCTAGGAGAATGGGACGTGCAGATGAATAAACAGAATTATCAGACAGACCTTTGGAGGCGATTCAGCCATTCCGAGCCAAAACGGGCCGATGGATTCAGGAACTCTTGTTCCAATTCTTCCTTAAGATCGGCGGCATTCTGATGATTCCTCTGTCGCGGTTTGGCCTCTCTGTAGATGCCATTTTCCTCGTCGGCCACGCGGGTATCGAAAGCCGATCCGCTTAGCTCTTTTGAGCTCAGACTCAGTTGAGCCAGAGCATCAGATAAGCTTGCAGCTGCAGCCATGATAACTATAGCAAGAATGAGAAGTCTAGGTCAAACCTGCTCCGGCAGCGAACTGGACACCAGGCGCCGGAAGAGTGTTTGTGGGGGCGCTGTGTATGCGAAGAGGCCAATGGGTGAAGCAACAAAACACAAATTATTGAATCGTGCGGCCTGGGAAACGCCAGCCAGTCAAGCGAGCATTCACAGGAGCGGAAGCAGAGCACGTGGATTGTGATTTGAGATGAAGGCTATTAATGAAATCATTCATTATTCGCTGGCGGGTGTTTGGCGGCGGCGGCGGCAGGAAATTGAATGGAAGTTTGGAGTTTGGACAAACCCAACCAGCTCCGTTCGGGTCTGACGTCGTGTGGGGACTGGGCGGACTGGACTGACCGGACTGGGCCCTTTCAGCCCAAGGTTCCTTCCGCCCACTCCTCACCTTGTCCGATCTACGCAGACAGAGGAACGGTGTTCTGTACGGTTGTATATAATCAAGACCAATGATCTCTCCCAGTAGTTTGCTTGGGACTAGGAATCAAGAGACTAACGTCTGTATAATGCATACACCCCCAACCATCTGGTTTAACTACGAGTGGGGCATTAAATTGGACAACATTTTGCATACAACTTCAAATCCTTTCCAAATGCAAAATTATCATCATCCTTTGTACATGGAAAGTTGCCATAAGTGGTATCCAGAGCACCACCAAAAACAGATGCAAGGCAATACGTGGGCTCAATGATACAGAATTGACGTTCCTGGGACCAAGACGCAGCTGGAGCGCATGGAAGCACAGACGAGGTAAAGGAGGCATTGAGAGTAAAGAGAAGGGGGGGGGAAAGTATATGCCTGCCAATCTTGAATCCTGCTGTCAGAGTTATTCCTAAGCCATTCTGTTTCTCACCATTAGAAAATTCACGAAGTATGATTGGGAGGCTCGGAAGTCAAAGCAGCCAGGGGGCAAAAGTGCACCTTAAATAGCATGAGTCCCAAGCACAGTTGTGTTGCTTCCCATACGCTATATGAGATAGGATACTATGGTGAAACCAATAGCCCGATGGCGGCTTGGAAAGACACAACCTCCTCGTTTACCTGTAATTGATAACAGGGAACGTTTTCCGATCGGTCATGTTGACTAGAAACTCGAAAATGCCATCCACGGTTGCAATGTACCTGTCCGAGTTAGTCGAATCACATTTTTCATGAAACATAGCACCTACAATGTTCTGCCATCTGCACCCCAGCCGATGCCGGCCGTACCGCCGGGCTCTTGGTCTCGATGTCTGAGCCCCGTGCTTCGATCCGGAAGCCCATTCAAAACATTGCGAACCCACCGGGGATGGCGATTTTGTTCAGATGCCACCAGCTGGTCGAGGTACCGCCTGTCTTGTTGATTGCTTCGATTGCGTGCTTCGTTCAAATTGTGTCGCTGCCGTCGAAGCCGCTCTGCAGCAACACTTGCTCTAAAGTCGGTCGTTGAGAGACGTGATGGATCATGACGAGCATCGGCTACACCGTTCTGCCTCTCAGGCCGGCTACGCCCTGAGCTGGAATGGTCATGGGCTCGATATCGGGATAATAATTCTGCAGTGGATGAATAGTCAAAATGTGCAGATGGGCGGGCTATCGTTCCACCAGGCCGATTGACAGAGCCGATATCGCTACCAGAACTATCGGGATCGCGCGAGCTTGGATCTGCGATATGTGAGGGGTCTCCTGAAATGGCAGAGTACAGCTCTGACGGGGACGCAGTCCAGCTGAGTGTAATGCTGGGCTGCGGATCCATATTCGACGGACCCGTCTCTAGTGAACGATTACTGGTCTCGGTATGATTATACGTTGGTATATTCGTGGCAGAGCGTCTTGCACTTTGCCTGCGCTCGTGTGCCTCTGCTCGGGCAGAGTATTCCTCTCGCAACAAATCGCCAAGCGTTTCGCCGGGGCGCAGAGGTGACGTAGGACGAGAGGCTCGATTGGCACCATCTGTGGAACCTTGAACCTGTTGACGAGGCCCAGTGGGTGGGTGAGGATAAGCTCTAGCTCGTCGTTCTGTTCGTCCATCACCAGGCCTGGATGTCCATCGCGCTGTGTTCAGATGTTCTACGATCAGCCTTTCCCTTTCTGTGAGGTTCTGCAAAAAAGTCTCACTCAGTAACGGGTTCTCGAAACCTTCTCCTTGGTCGTTTGGGAATCCCTCGACTGAATCTAACATCTCGCGTTGCGCTCCATCAACCTCAAATTCAGAATCAGAATCATCGATGATTGGTTCTGTAAAAACCTCCTCGGTCCCGGGCTCATTCATGTCTAGTTGAATAATCTGACGACGAACGAAGGCCTGGCGTACATCTGCTACACCAGCCCGACCCTTATCTTCAAGCCAGACTAGAAGATCCCAGGGCTCTGGCGCAAATGCTATGCAGCGCACAGCGCCACCGTTGCAGCATGATGTAGATGAATTGAAATGGCAGATGATCGTGTTTTTGCCGTGCGGCTCATGCGTGATATCTCGAACTGTTCTCACATCGAATATGGTAATGACCCCAGACTGGGAACCGATTGCACACAGCCGGCTAAACTGGGAGAAGGCGATAGTGAAACAGCAACCATCATCAAATCGCGTGCCGATATCCATCTCTATGCAGCGTATAAGGTCCCAATTCCATCCACAGAGCTTGTCGCCAGTTTCTGTTGTGACAATCGATTCAAGGTCGCGGCTGATCTCATAGAAGTATGCGCGAGTTTCATCACCAACAGCGGCGAGGAGACTCGAGTCTGGAGATATGATCGCATAATTCATACAAGCGGGATGATGAAGAACTTTCAGAACCTTGGACCTGGCCAGGGCGTACACGGTGACAGTTTTATCGTTGTTACTGTCAAATCATCAGCACAGCACTGAGAGAGCAAGTGTCGGATCCGATGATACCTGAGAATTGCCACATCTTCATGTGATAAATCCTTTTCACCACCAGGAAGGCGATGGATGGTGACCGAGTTCACAATGCTGCCTCCAAATGTATGCAGCTGCATTTCCGGCACTTGCCTCCCGCCAGTGTCCCGAGCTGGCCTCGTCGCATCGCCATTATTCCTAGGGGACGACATCCTTGCTGAGGGCTCGAACCCAATCGGAAGAGCACTATCTACATCGGCTGGCTGGCCAGCCGGGGTACTGCCCTGGGTACATGCGCTGTAATCAGGTAGCCTGATGAAGGCACATTCGCCGTTGTCCGATCCCCCAACGGCAACCCAGCCGTGACCTGCAGCCATACATTTTGGATCGAAAGGTATTACGCCGATTGTTTCCCGCTTTTGTGTTGAGATATGAATGGCGTAAATGAACTTATGGGCGACGACGTAAATCCGATCCGGATCGGCGGTGCTTATATAGTTGCGAAGTTGTTGGTGGCTGTACGGCCATCAGCTTAATTCAGCTCTATTGGTTTTGAGCTCGAAGCACAAACAAATTTGGGATCTTGAACGGGAAGAAGCGGCGCTTGGTTGAGAGGACTAGAGACTCGGTTGGATGAAACCTACCCATGCGGTAAGTGTTAGTCACACGTGTGTTGGTACTTTGGAGGGAAGGATAGAGTGAGAATCAACTTACGAAAGCGAATCCGTTGTCATGGTGAAGATAAAGCCGGTCCTTAAGGTGGCATGGTCGGAAGTCCAGCTACACTAGGAGGAGGAACACCGCTGTTGCGGCAATGACGGACAACGCAGAGGGGGAAGATGCGGAGGGTGTGGTGAGAGTAGCGGCGGAAAAAGAACGGTTGGTAGATCTGAGGAAGATTGGGAACCAAGACTAGTGTTGGTGGTGCGATGGAGAGTGGATATTGAGCCCAGAACATTAGGATCTGGAGCTGGAGCTGATCTGAGTTAAGAGATTGGGGGGGGGAAATCACCACCACGACTACCTTCACCTACCACACTCAACTCAACTCAACTCTTATTCACCTGCGGCGGTTCACCTCGCTCGCCATCTCGCCTGGGAACGAAATCGGAGGGTGATGGCGGGTGCGGACGGATGACGTAAGACTTATCCGCTCCAATCCGGGGAACTTCAGCGGCGAATGCGGTCGAGTCTTGCTCGATTGAAGCCTCGAACCCGCCTCCAGGGCTGGACGCACCCGGGGTTGGATCGACCAGCTCGTCTAAAGATCCGGCAACCCAGCATTGTCACCGTGTCGGGGCAGTCTCACCAGATAAATTAGTTAGTCTTTTCAACTAAGCCTTATGCACGCGGCAGCCTGCATCTTACTTTCAGAGCCTTACCTCTCGCGTGATCTTCCTGTCTGAAAAAAAATCACCTCAGGTATAAACCTCGGCTCCCATATGTATTCTTCTTGTACGAATTGAGTCTACAATAGGTAGGCTGTGCATCAATTAACTGACTTGTATCCAAATTTCTACTTCAACGTGGAGGTAGTATACTGAGCCGGACTCCGTGCCCTCAAGTAGCCCTGGTATGGTGCTGATGGATATTCAAACTGGTAAAATATGGATTTCATCTGTTAGGCATTCGGGGTAGGACCATCACTTTTCGAGAAGCGTTTTCCCAAACACTCGAACTGCAAGTGAACTTAGTGTTCTGAAAGAGCCTATAAATCATTGTGCCAGGTGTGGCATCAGGTATTGACCTTGATTTTCTGGGCTGCGACTTTATACTGCACTGTACGGTACAGCACAATGGGCAGAAAAATGCACCATGACAAACTCATCTCGGGTGGAAATCAGTCTAGAAAGGATCTATCTACTCATAGCAAAGGAATTTTGACAAGGGAGGTACCCGCTGGTTTACAATAGAGGAGTAGACAGTCAAATATTCTAGTGGGGATAGAGAAAGGGTGGAGAACGTTTCTGAAAAATCATTGTCTCCGAAATAACCTAACTCTGACTCATTGATATTGCCTTGCATTCCTCTCAAAATATACATTTAGTGGTATGCCGTCTTCTCGAAAGAAAGCCAACGGTCAATTATCATCAAAAGAGGGAGTATCGTAATGTGTCTCAAAGAAAGAGCAATGCACTCTCAGTCAGACGACAATCATACATACCAGGCTTGTGCAAATGGCGAGGAATAACCTACAGATGGATATCGTTACTATGCAGAGGCTGATTTAGTGGCGGCCGCTCATCGGAGCTTTCTTACTTGGAGAACGGGTACTGCCGGCCGGCGGTACTTGCACCTCAAGTTGTAGAATTTTGTTCTGCGACACTGAGCTTGGTAGAAAAGGTTAATACGTAGTTAATAGTCTACATCGGCGTAGTAGGTATTGTACCCAAGTCTCTATTAATGTTTGGCGAGACAAAAAATCGCCACTAACAACTACTATTGATCGTTCCTTTACTCGTAGCTTCTCGAACTCAACTCACAGGTCCGGCTACGGTCCAAAGCGGTCAGAAGCAGATCTGAGATATCATTGGACCATTGGCTGCGTTGCTGTGATTCTACCAAGTTCGATGACGGGCCGAAGCTCTCCGGGACGATTTTTACGACGCCTGCCGTCTCCCTTCTTTTACTTTCTTCCTCCCCGGAATCAGTGCAAAAAACTTGTCTTCTTCATCCTACCTCTCCCTTCTCACCTCATCCTACCTATATCCTTATACCTCTATTCATCCTCCTCTCCTATCGATTGAATCGACTGGAGTGCTTCTACACTTCCCTTTCCCTTAATACCTGTATTATCTCTTTCTTTTAATCACATTCACAATGCTGTCCTCTCGCATCTCTCGCGCGGTAGGTTTCCTTTCCCTTGACGCTCAACATACATAATATGCGCAATGAAACCTAACATTGTTCATTCTTCGCAGCTCCCGCGCACTGCTTTCACTCGTGCCCCTGCCTTCAGAGTTCCCGGTGCTTCTATTCGGAGATGGAACTCCACGGAAGGAGGTGAGGAGAAGGTGAAGGGTCAGGTCATCGGTATTGACTTGGGTATGTCGAGAAATATTGAACACACTTACAATTAAGACTCGAAGCTCACGTGCTTGAATAGGTACCACCAACTCCGCTGTTGCTGTCATGGAGGGCAAGACCCCCAAGATCATTGAGAACGCCGAAGGTATGTGAAGAATTTTCTTTGCCGGTTGCCGCCACCTACACTCTTAGGACTGGAGTTGCAAACGCAATACAAACTGAAGTAACCTGCGTCTGACTCATTTCAAAGGTGCCAGAACCACTCCTTCCGTTGTCGCTTTCGCCCAGGATGGTGAGCGCTTGGTCGGTATCGCCGCCAAGCGTCAGGCCGTTGTCAACCCCGAGAACACTCTCTTCGCCACCAAGCGTCTCATCGGCCGCAAGTTCACCGATGCTGAGGTTCAGCGTGATATCAAGGAGGTCCCCTACAAGATCGTCCAGCACACCAACGGTGACGCCTGGGTTCAGGCTCGCGACCAGAAGTACTCTCCTTCCCAGATCGGTGGTTTCGTCCTCAACAAGATGAAGGAGACCGCCGAGAACTACCTCAGCAAGCCCGTTAAGAACGCTGTCGTTACTGTCCCTGCCTACTTCAACGACTCTCAGCGCCAGGCCACCAAGGATGCTGGTCAGATTGCTGGTCTTAACGTTCTCCGTGTCGTTAACGAGCCTACTGCCGCCGCCCTTGCCTATGGTCTCGAGAAGGAGGCTGACCGTGTTGTCGCCGTCTACGATCTCGGTGGTGGTACCTTCGATATCTCCGTTCTGGAGATCCAGAAGGGTGTCTTCGAGGTTAAGTCCACCAACGGTGATACCCACCTCGGTGGTGAGGATTTCGATATCTCCCTTGTCCGCCACATCGTCCAGCAGTTCAAGAAGGACTCTGGTCTCGATCTCTCCGGTGATCGCATGGCTATTCAGCGTATCCGTGAAGCTGCTGAGAAGGCCAAGATCGAACTGTCCTCTTCCCTCCAGACCGAGATCAACCTTCCTTTCATCACTGCTGATGCCAGCGGTGCCAAGCACATCAACCTGAAGATGACCCGCTCCCAGCTCGAGTCTCTGGTTGACCCTCTTATCAGCCGCACCATCGAGCCCGTCCGCAAGGCTCTCAAGGATGCCAACCTCCAGTCCAGCGAGATCCAGGACATCATCCTTGTCGGTGGTATGACCCGTATGCCCAAGGTCACCGAGTCCGTCAAGTCCATGTTCGGCCGTGAGCCCGCCAAGTCCGTCAACCCTGACGAAGCTGTCGCCATTGGTGCTGCCATCCAGGGTGCTGTCCTCGCCGGTGAGGTCACTGACGTTCTTCTCCTCGACGTCACTCCCCTGTCCCTCGGTATCGAGACCCTTGGTGGTGTCTTCACTCGCCTGATCAACCGCAACACCACCATCCCCACCAAGAAGTCCCAGACTTTCTCCACTGCCGCTGATTTCCAGACTGCTGTCGAGATCAAGGTCTTCCAGGGTGAGCGTGAGCTTGTCAAGGACAACAAGCTCCTCGGTAACTTCCAGCTCGTCGGTATCCCCCCTGCCCACCGTGGTGTTCCTCAGATTGAGGTCACCTTCGACATCGACGCCGACTCCATTGTTCACGTCGCTGCCAAGGACAAGTCCACTGGCAAGGACCAGTCCATCACCATCGCCTCCGGCTCCGGTCTCTCCGACTCTGAGATCCAGTCCATGGTTGAGGATGCTGAGAAGTACGGTGCTCAGGACAAGGAGCGCAAGTCCGCCATCGAGGCTGCCAACCGTGCCGACAGCGTTGTGAACGATACTGAGAAGGCCCTCAAGGAGTTCGAGGACCGCCTCGACAAGGCCGAGGCCGAGCAGATCCGCGAGAAGATCGCCTCTCTCCGCGAGTTCATCGCCCAGAACCAGTCCGGTGAGGGTACCGCCACTGCTGAGGAGTTCAAGCAGAAGACCGACGAGCTCCAGAACGCTAGCTTGACCCTCTTTGACAAGATGCACAAGGCCCAGGCTGAGCAGCAGCAGCAGAAGCCCGAGGGTGAGAACAAGGCCTAAATGTTCTACCCTGACTGAAAATCCCGTCTCTTGATGTGGGATATTCTTGTATTATCTCTTTCTCAGTATTCCCTAGAGGTTCTCCCTCTACACTTTTGTTTTCATGCATGATATGTACACATACCGATAGCTTTGATTGATCTTGTTCGGTGTATGGGTGTTCTGTTTTTTACCCTTTCTCCCTTTTTTTCCACTTTTGCTATCTACTTGTTGTTCTCTTATCCCCTTTCCTAAACTCCTCTTCGCACTTCTTGGGACGGATCAGCGTTTGTATTTGACGGAGGGCAATCCGTTGGGTCGGATGCATGGAGTGTCTACATCTCTTGTAACTTAATGACATTATGGCTGGGGGACCACAAAAGAAAAGTATGTGGTGTGGGAACGTGTGACAATAGAAGAAGAAATTCTCCTCTCGATTAAACCGGTGTGCATGCTTGATCTTGTGAAGAGTGGTGTAGTCTTCGCTCAACAGAGAATATTCTATGAGAAACTATCCTTTGTGTGGTAGACATTCTGGAATCGTTCAGAATCGTTTGTGGGCCGCCGACTGCACGCGTGTCCACAAGTAGTCAGTCCCACCTACGGTATGCTGACCCTCCATCAATACCGACAGACTATCACTGTAATCTGTTCCCAATTCTTTGAGCAGCGTGTAATTAGGGGCTACTACAAAGTGCGTAGTACAATCTCCGGTACTAGGCCAAGCAATGATTGAACTAATCAGCTCAGCATACTTACAGTCATACCGCATCGGCTTCAATGTCCCTTTCAAGATGGACCAGCCCGTTGTGATTAATTGGTTCCGCAGACTGAGACAGCCCGAACGCCTCATGCCGGAGATGCTGAAGGCTACGTCCCGGGTTGTCAAAGGTCGACGACCCAAGAACTCCTTTTAAGTATGTCCGCCACGAGGACGGCGCCAATAAAAGGAAGGCAAAGTTTCTGATACTTCCTTTCCCCATCTCACTATTATCGCCAGTTGTGCTCACTACCAACGCAGAGACAATTTGCTGATGACTACTAAGTAACTGGCAGGGTAGGAAAGGGACTAACTACCTTACTGACTGACTGTCTGGCGTCAGGGATTGGAACTTCGGGAACTACACTACACTACAATGATTAGAGGGGGGGTGGTGGTGGTGGTGGTGGTGGGCACCCGCAAGATAGATCAATGCGCTGACTTGCATAAGAACATAACCAAACAAGAAAATCAGATGTTCATTCGTCGGTGGTTGTAAATCTCGAAGGGCCTTTCTCGTCTGATGATGGAAGGACGAGAAAACATCGTTGACCTCCAGTAACCTTAGTCGGATCCCATTAGTTGACTGTGCCCTTGGCGGAAAGGCGTGGTCCTCCAGTCGCCGTAGCGCTTATGTTTCCAGTTCTACTGCTCGCAGCCTCACTTTGGTGAAATGCGCTGATGTGTTTGTCGACGACGGGATTGATGTCTATGGCTTCTGTGGACAGACAATTCACTGTGGGATTGCATCCGTCTGCACTACTATGCAGTATAATAGGCTGTAGGCTGGAGGAGGAGGAGAAGACTATGTAGTGGGTAGCAGTCCTTACATGCAGACTAAATTTCATTGATTGGATTGAAAATCTCGCGATGATGAAGACTACCTAATTTCTGTGTTCCGAAAGTAAACAAGGGTAGAGAGGTGTACAGCACTGCGGTTCTGAATCGCAAATTGCCACGAATCTACAGAGGGGTTTATGGTTATTGTTATTGTTGTTGATATGCATCGGTTGCACCTAAGTACGGTTGACGGTGGCTGTCTCTGGCCTAAAAGTGAGTAAATTCTGATTGCGCTGGAAGGTTGAGATGGGATGGAGAGGAGGAGGGAGGAGGAGGGAGGGGGGGGGGAACCGGTGGTGGGGAAGGAAGAAAGATCCTTTCTGTGTAGAATCCCATCAATCAAGGATAGACGACAAAGAGGGTGGAAGCAGACTCATTGCTCCATCACTAGTGGAGCGGGATATGCAGGATTGACAGTGCCTTTTTGGACTTATCGATCCAGAGTATTTAATATAGTTCAATGGTCTAAACCGGCAGGCCAGAACATCATCACCCTTGGACATGGACGGGGCATTAGCTTGTTGAGTATGGGGTAAAGGGGACATATATGAAGGGCGGTTAAGCGTCCAAGATGACTGTCTCCTCCTATTAGCTTGTGCGATGATAGTCAACAAGCACACCACACACCATGATTAGTTGAATTAAAGAAGTTGAATGGTTGAAGTATGTAGGATGATGGATGGGAGACGGGGGACGGGGGACGGGGGACGGGAACCTGTAGCGTTGTACTGTATGTATGTCTGTGTGTACAGTACTTTCTGTCCTTATCGGCAGCATACAGACAGCCTTCAATGATGCAGCCAATCTCCACTGGGAGACTTGCAGTGGTGGTGCCGCAGAGAGGACAAATCAACGCTGTACACAACTGCAGTCGATACATTGGCTGGCCGACTGGGAAAGTAGACTTGATTTTTAGAGTGGGCTTTGGACACGTACACGATGTAAGTTACTGAGTATTATTGAGAAGAACAATTGAATGTTGTTGCGATCTAAGAGTCTAAGACTAAAGTCTCAAGTGACAATATGAGAGAGCAATTTGTTGATGATTCAGCTCGGGCCACACAGTGCTTCATGAAGACAGAAGCCTGTTACTAACAGACAGTTCTTATCCGACTGTTACCGACCCAAAAGAAGTCTGGATCGTCTGTTGCGCGCCCCGTTCTTTACCCTGGCTCTGGCTTAGACAAAAAGGGCACTCCTCACGTCCAGCCTAATTTCAGAGCCACTTGGAGCAAGTCTATTTCCTTAGATTGAGGCCTCTACGTCCGGCTGCAAATTTTCTCCTTCATCATTTGTCGATCACTCTGCTAATGTACCTGTTCCAGGAATATTCCAGTTGAGGTTTGGGTCATTCCCCACTTCGTGCCCTCAGTATTACTTACCCTCATCAGCACAATCGTAGTACATCCACTTTTCTCCTTTAACACTGGAAGGAAAAGGTACCGCCCACTTTTCGGTGGACGGCCTGTCTGTCGATTCCCCGTCGCGCCGTCTTTTACTTCAGTCTTCGGATTCTAATGCCATTCCTACGCTGTGGGAACGAACGGGCGGAATTGTTGATGACGGGTTACTGTCGCAATCGGTAGAGTATTCCAAATGCCATCGCGTTTGGCCATGTGTCAGACATTAAACTTCCACGATATTCTACCTGTCTTCTCAAAACTTGCGTTACAAGATAAATAGTAGATCAGCTGGGCCTCATTGGCTGCCAGGCACAGGGCTAAAAATAAAAACCAAGGTAGCACTACTGAAGCGATAGAAAGAGAATTTGGAAACTTTGGATGTACCACATATTAATTGGTTTTATTATTATTTCCAGAATTATTATTACGACAACTTGTTTTACATGCTGAATCTCTTTGCAAGTGTTAAAAAATGCCTTGGTGATTCATCAGCAACTTACCGAGGCGAAAGCACCCGGAGCCTGCCCAGTGAGGGACCACTTCAACCAAAAAGAGTGCAGTCCTTTTGCCGTGGGCGTACCTGATTTTTTGGTCCCATTCAATTCTACGATTCCACCTTGTGTGGTTTTTCGGTACTTCACCCGGGGTGCCCTAGTTGTTATGGCATGGCACATATCAACCCTGGTCTTTGCTCCTGATTCTTCGTCGTCTATTTTCTTTTTTCTTTGGTGCTGCTTGTCTGCTTTACGCTAAGCAATCAAGGTGAGTACATCTCAGATCCAAGATTAGATTTGGAGAGGGAAGTGGATGATGAATAAGAAGATTTTACGGAATACATTCATAGGATCCTGGGTCGATTTGTGTTTGTCACTAGTGTGACAGTAGTGGGTTTCTCAGCTCGGAGAGAGGGGGGAAGAGGGGGGTCCAGGCTAATACAACACATAATGAGTTTTGGCACTGAAGGATTTTGGCACCGAGAAAGAAGGGGAGGTGTAATCATTTTGCCAATTTGACAATTGCGTCTTAGGGCAGTTCTCCATGAAGTTCCAATTTTCCTCTCCCTCTTCCAATGCCTCTGTCATCTCCAAAAGAGAGACTTCACGCCTGACAGCTCCAGTCTGTCTCTTCAAACTGTTAAATTCTCCGAACTATGTGTTGCTGTTATGCCAATGAAGTTTGAGAGTTGTGCATTTTTGTCCTACATCACGCGGAGAACTATGGCCAATATTGTCAATTATTACTAGATCTGACATGGGACCTCACTAGTGCTGTTGCAGGTCCCAGAGTCCCAGACTTCATCCATGGACTTGTTTGTTTCCAACTGACCGTAAAATCAAACTGGCTTTTTCTGTTCACAGCTCTAGTCTAGTCTAGTCACCACTGACTACTCTTGACTAGTTTTATTAGCTACTAGCGTCCTGACTAGAGCTGTCCCAGCTGACTGGTTTAATTTATTATTGTTATTATCACTTTTGATGATTATTTCTCCAACTCTGTATCCTCTTCTATTCTTGCGCTTGTTGTTTTCTTTTCAATCAATGTTGTCTGAGCTTGAACCTTCGTTCAATCTCCATCTTTGTTAGAACTTAGGACCCTTTCCATCCTCGATCTATTGTTGACAACTCTTGGTCGTGTTCTTCCTCTTGGATTTCCCCAAGCCATCGACTCCCCTTGCTTGACCGTTGCCACTTGCATCGTCTTGCAACTCTAGTGGGTGACAACGAAACCCCCCACTGAGGAAAATTCACGGGAAAATCCGTGGAAGGTGGAAAGGGAAAAAAAGAATTGGAGAGAAAAACGGGCAAGCTGCATTGCGCTAGCAATTTGTTTTTTCCTTTCTGTTCTTGGTTGGTACAGTAGTACTCAAGTACTTACTGTACACTTACTCTACTGCCCTTTGACATTGCTTTGATCATTGCTGCAAGTGTAAAAGAGAGTAAGTAGAGTCAGTCCTTGACACCCTGCTTCCCTTGCCCTCATTGAGTTTCATCATATCACCCGCCGTGCGACTGGTATCTCACATCTACTTCAATCCTACTTACCCTCCTTTCCTCTTGCCCCCCACACCCCCTCCCTCTGATCCCTCTCACACCTCCCTTCCACCACCCTTGTCGTCCTCCTTCCTGGGTCACGTATTCCCCATTCTTCAATGAGATAACCCTCCTTGGATATACTTCGGAAATCGTGTCAACTGTCGTTTGCGTTCACCGAGGCGCGCATCTTCTTCGCGGCTGCATCAAACTTCCCAGCAAACTTTTGCATCTGCATGCCAGCAACAAGTAATTGCAAATAACTAATCGTCTGACTGAGCATCCAGTCCTCCACCATGACAGTTGCAGCGCCTCCCGTGGCACCAGTGCACGAGAATGGGATCAACGGCGGACTCGGTCATCATGTCAATACTATGAGCCTCCCACGTTTCCACCCAATCGCAATGAATCCGGGCCAAGCAATTCCCCCGGAGCATTTGATGCACGGTCACCATCAATTTCGTCCTTTTCCACCACCACCGCCGCCTCCTCCTATGCAGGAACCAGGCCCGCCAGCTCCGGTTTCCGCTCCAGCACCGCCCGCTCATCATCCGCATATTGACCAGATTGAAGCTCGCCTGAGACAATTGGAGCATGAAGAAGCGGCTCGTATGGCGGCTCGTAGCCATCTTCTCGCCATGCGCAAGCGAGAGGACGAGGACTTTCGTAGGTTGACGGAGAATGCCGAAGCAGAAGAAGAGGTATGGTTAAGAACAACAGCAGAAAGAAGTGAAAATTGTGTCTTATTTATTCTTCCAAAAACAACACCATCTGACATGATACCGCATGTGCCTACGGAATAGGAACTGCGTAGGCAACGAAAGCGCCTGAAAAGAGAATCCATGGGCCTCGGGTATAACGCTGGGATGGACTCCCCGCCGCTTCGACCGACGCCGCCTCGTCGGTTGTCGGAGACCAATGCAGCCACTACCCTTGCATTTTTCAAGCAACAAAGCCCCCCGGAGCCTCGTCCCATCCCTCCACCGCCGACACAAGCACCTGCACCCCACGTTCCTCCACCTCCACCTGCACCTCAGCACATCCACCATGATCCCACCGGCGCTACCTCGATCAGACGAAAGCAGAAGTATACTATTAAGAATGTCGAAGCCTGGGGAGAGCGACATGGGCGCCCCGCCGCGCATGATCCCTCTGGCAGGGCTCTCTGGAAGCGTCCCTCAGACGGTAGTCTGGTGTATTTGACTTGCCCGGTATCCGGCTGTGGGAAGGCCGATTTTGTGACTCTCCATGGATTCATGTGCCATTTGACGAAGAAACACAAGGACCGCAGCCTGGGCAGTCAATCCCGGGCATTGGAAGTATGCGGGCTGGTTTACGACCCCAACGCCCCTCTTCCTCCAGTGGCGAATATCAACCGTGCATCCACGGAAGAGAGCCGGCTTGAGTCCGGCCCCACAGACCATGAAGGATACCAACAAGACATTGAGTATTCTTCTGCGTCGGATGAGGAGGAAAGCCATGATATCCCAGTGAAGACCGAGTCCACAGATAGGACGTTGCCTGCACCTCCAGTAATGACGATGCCCCCGGTTCCAGATCAACATCAACTACAAGCCCGCTTCAACGGCTCGACGAAACAATCCATCTCATCAATCATTGACCGCGACCCGGAGAGCGACCCCCGCGAGCAGCGGTTAGATACGAACCCCCCTCGTCCGATGGAGATTCCCGTGCAAACCTCCCCGGACCATAAACGCCCCTTCAAGGACGAGGCCGAGTTTCCTCGTCCACGTGAGCATGAGAAAGAGAACACTGACCCCAAAGACACGGCCGATACACAGTAATAGCAGTCTTATAATTTCACTAATCATCGTTGCATTGCGGTAGTTGAAGACACAAGATGTTCCGCCTCATTGCCTTGCATCATAGTTTTGAGCATGTTTCCGGTGGTGGTTGCTGCCGTGAGGGATTCTGCGTCACATACCCTTTCCCTCCTTTGTATATGTGGGTGGCCTTCTGCATGTTGTTTCTTACTTAATGTAATAATGTCTTACCTCATATGGCTGGCCCCGAGGGTCTCAATCGATCTGAGCTTACCTACTTGTCTTTCGTATTCCGATCACGTGCACATAGTGGATGCTTACGAATAGTTTCATATTATTGAGCAACACCTCAACGAGCAAACGGATGTTCCATTCCATAGCGCACGGTGACTGCGTTCGTGCTTTCCTGATATCGATTTTTCAGTGTGATCATCCAAACAAATTATCATTAGATATGAATTCCTTGATTCCAATGCCGCGTCACGCAGACTTCTGACACATATACACGCGATTCAGTCATGATAGATCGGTCGAAAGATGAATCAACTCGGAAGAAGCAGGACACGCAGAAAACTCTCCATTTGCATCTCCCAACCTCATCTGAACTCGACCGACCGAATACACCCTTTATCCCCCCCCCCAACCAAATCTCAACTACCTGAGAAGCAGAAGATGCACCAAATACCCCGTCCCGGACTTCAACGCCTCCCCAA